AGAAGTCATAGTCACCAATAGTTTGGCCAATGAATCTATTTCTGTAGAGTTTCTACCAAAACCTGGGCTAGAGAAATCTTCCCATATGACTCTTTACTGAAGGGAAAACTCAGCGTGTAAAATCAAGTCCAGACACTTCTGCATTCTGTAGCAGCACAGTAATGTACCAACACAATAGTGTGATCATCAGCTACATGACCAAATGTTTTACCACATGGTGTTATCAAAAGTGTGTGGGCTTGAGAGTCAGACTAACCTGGGTTAAAATATCAGTAATGCCTGATTATGACGGGGGTATTAGGAGCTGATGGCTAAATCTCTCTTGCCATCTGAGCTATTAGAGAAAATGTAGACATGGGATCCAAGCCAAAGGAAATAAGAAGTATCAGCCTCATTACTGATAGTGCTATTTGGAAGATGTGGCTGTAGATCAGGTGCTAAATGGGTGTGCTACTTTGTCACTCTATACTAATAGAGACAATGCAGATACTGAACAAAATGCTACTATGAAGAGGCCTGCTGCTCCTGTAACTAGTCTATGGATGGATAGAAAATATGGGAAATTCCTTGGAACAGCCTAGAGCTCCAAAGATCAAGAGAGAAAGAATAAGGGAAGTTCTAGTTTCTCTTGTCAATTCACAGGAAAGAGAGCAAGTAAAGCGTACTAAGAGGGACCAGGAATAGAGAATTTGGACATGGAGGAAGAGAAGTAAGTCCGAGGTTAAGCATCATGACATAACTGGGTTTAGGGACAAATTACTTAACATTTCTGGACCCCCAGTTGTTTTGCCTATAAAACAGAAACAATACTACTAATTGTATATATTTGCTTATATAAAATCACATGTAAATGGATTTGGGTGATGGTGGTGGTGGTAGTGATATGGAAATTGTCACTTTAAGGTTTACCAAGAAATAATGCTGACTTACTTTCCAAGCTTTTCCTTACCCCCTGGCTTTCCCTTGCAGAGACATCAGTCAATGTCAGTCAAAGATGAGTTGGGGCAGAAAGCAATCTATTCCTCTACTTCCTAAAGTTCAGGGTGTTAGAAAAGAAGAAAGTAAGGAAGAATTATTTTTAATGTACTCTACATAGTTTATTGGCTGGCTCAATTTTCAGGCCACTTGCTTTTGGAAAGGCATTAGCTTCTAAAGCAAGAAATTTTGTTTTCCAATCTTGCCCATGTCCATGTTCCTTTAAATGTGCACCTACCATCAGGGCTGTGTTTGATGTTGCATTATAAAGAGACCTATATAGAACCTGGCTTGGAGCTGTGTACAGGATATGGAGTTGCTAGGCTCAGTTTAGATATTACCTCCAGGACCTGGAGTCTCAAGAGGCCTGATTTAACCCAGAAGTGTACAGTCTCACCAAATGTAGTGACCAGGTTACCATGTCAATTCTAAAACACTCATACTCTATACGGGATGCTATTGCAGTTGCTAGCACAGTTTTAGCATAGCTTTCTGAATTTCTTCCTTAGACATGTCTATAGTGCTGGTTTGATTCTAGCCTTCCTGATCTCACAATGCTCACAAAAGTTTCATTTCATCCAGGTGTGGGTGGCTTGCACCTATAATCTTACATACTCAGGAGACTGAGATGTAAGGATCGCAGTTCAAATCCAGCCCAGACAGGAAAGTCCATGAGAATTTTATCTCCAACTAACCACCAAAAAACTGGAAGTAGAGCTGTGGTTCATGGGGTAGAGTGCAATACTTGAGCACAAAAGCACAGGGACAGAGCGCAAGCCCTAAACTCAAATCCCAGAACTGGCATACACATTCACGCACCACCCCTTCCTCCTCCTAAGCTTCATTCAGTGGCATCATTGGCCTCCATAGTCTTAGTTTGTTGCCACCTCTAAGATTCCTTCTTCATTTGATATCATCTATCGAATTAGCAACATGACTGATTTTTCCCTACCTCACATAGAGAAAGCAGTGTCTCAGTCAGAAATTGAATTATCACCATCCAAATGCAAGATTCAACATCCAGTTTAGATTAGATGGTCTCCAATCTCTCTTCCTTCTGGTGGACCCTTCATTTTTATTATTTTAAAACAAGCCAGACTAAATCTTACCTCTGCTCCTGAACTTCTACAAGCTTACTGTGTTTATGAATCACATACACCATGTCTGCATAGCTTCTAGTCTTGAGAACATCAGCTTTGTACTTCAAAACCCACAAGACCAGACAAGGACCAATTGCTGAGCTGTGAACCCACCGTGCACTTGAATATGTCTAAGTCTTTCCCTGTAGTACTCCTCTTTTATACTCACCTGTAAGATTTTTCTTTTCTTTCTTTTTTTTTTTTTTAGTGTTGTTTTTGGGTCCAGTCGTGGGGCCTGAACTCTGGGCCTGGGCGCTGTCCCTCAGCTCTTCAGCTCAAGGCTAGCGCTCTACCACTTGAGCCACAGCGCCACTTCCAGCTTTTTTCTTTTTGCTTATGTGGTGCTGAGGAATCGAACTCAGGGCCTCATGCATGCAAGGCAAGCGCTCTACCACTGAGCCACCTTCCCAGCCCCTCACCTGTAAGATTTTTCATCCACAGAAATCCCATCATATTTGTTGTTGATAATCCATGTGCGATAATTGCATGTATTTATGGGGTACAGTTTGAGGAGTTGATACATGTATACATTGTGCAATGTCAAATCATTGTAAATTCAATATATCTGTCATCTCCTAAATTCATCATTTTTGAGCACCCCTCAGAATCTTTTCTGTTTTTATTTTTAGATATTCAGCACAAAATAGTCATAGTCAGTCTACCCTCCTATATACTATAATATGACAGCTGCGGGCCATATTTTTCTTTCCTCACTATAAGTACCTATTATTCTACTCTCTCCTTTTATGAAGTCAGCTTTTGTTGGATTCTGCTTATGTGTTAAGCCACACAGTATTTGTCTTCTCTCTGCCTGACATATTTCACATGATGTCTTCTAAGTTTATCCATGTTGCTGCAAATATCAGGACTTTATCCTTGTTATGGCTTAATAATATTCCATGGTTTATATATACCACCTTCTTTATCCATTTGCCCACTCATGGGCACTTGCAAATTGCTTATCTTGCTGTTTTTCTTTCTTTCTTAAAAAAAATCTTTTCTTAAAATTTTATCAAATTCATAGCCATAACCAAAACTTTCAGCACAATCAATGAATAAGCATAATTTGGGCATGGGTATTTATTAACATTTTTGTTTAGTGAGTAGCATATAAGTGAAACATAAACCTGAAGGTAGGGTCAGGACTTCATTCATTATTTTCTGGAACAAGTGAAATCAGACAAAAATTATTTTCTGGACTTATTGGAGTGTAAGGCTCCCACCATTCACCAAATTCCCAGGTGACAGAACTTGATGGCAACACCTATTTCTATTCAGTTCTCTTCCTCCACATCAGAGGATTTCAGGATACCAAAAAAAACATTCATAGGAGAAAATGGGATTAAGTGAGTCTACCGATATGCTTGCGTGGTCCATGTCTTGTCATGTCCCGTCATGGTAGTTAGTATCTTGTGTGAGGTGCCTTGCCAGGTACCTGCCTTGTGTGAGGTCTGCTTAATTTCCTCTTCTATGGCAGGAAGGTGCCAGTGGACTTTGAGCTCTTATATCTAGGTTCCTTTGACATGCTTGTCAGACTCAATCTTATTGGAAGCTAAATGAAGGCAAGTGTCTGACCATGAGTTCCTGCTAGGTTATAGTGTAAAGAGCATACATATACTGTCTCACAATCTTACTTTTTAAATGGATTTACCGTTAACCTCTGTTTTAAATCCTAGGATGTCTTTGCTTTTTCTATCCTTCAAGCCATTTCAAAAAGCTTACAACTTTTTTTTTTCTATCTGACCAATTATTGATTGAACCTTGTTGGTTTCAAAGACAAAGTCCCTAGCTCAATTCTAGAGCATTTATCTTATAGGATTGACTTAAATAGTACTTGATCAGAAGTTTCTTCACACTAAATCTTTTTGTATTTGTGAGAATTTAAAGTATTTTTAAATCTGGTTAAGACCAGTATTTTTAAATCTGGAAGGCTTGTTCGATACCAACTTTCTGGAAAAATGGACACCACTTCTCTGTCTCAGAATGAGCCAATGAGGAAAAAAAATGTATGGAAAACTTCATTTCCAAAGCTCAAGCATGTGAATATGTAAGATAGAAATTTTAAGACCCTTTTATATAGCTCAAAACAATGGGTAAAGACAGGTATCTGAAGGTCATAATTTTTATCGGTTGCAAACGAATTTTAGAATGGCATTGTCTAACTCTCAAGCAATAGAAACAAGCAATAGAAATGTGCCTTTTCAACTCATTCATATTTCAATTAACATTAATGAAGGTCCCATAGGGTACATTGTATTAGGTGATGAGATGGATACCTGTGAAACTCTATTAAAAAATAAAGTCCATTAAGTCCAAAAGTGAGGATCATCACCAAGAAAAACCAGGAAAGTAGGCAAAAACTCTGCTGTGTGTGGATAAATGTACTTTTAATGAACCTTGTCCACTGGTCAAGATGTCAGAAACTTAGCTCTTTACATAGCACAACTAAGTAAAAAAGCAAAGCTTTATTTTGAGTGAGAAAGCAAAAAAGAAAAAGAAAAAATAAAGGAAAAAAGGAAGAAAAAAAGAAAACCATAAAACCATCTGTAAGCGTTTTTTTTTTTTTTTTAATTCAATACTGTCATTGTCACAGTCTGCTTGATCTCCCTATTTTGGGTTAATATGGGAGTCAATTACAGCTTCGTCTGTGTAGAATTAACTTTACAGAGTACACACGCGGGATTTGTCTATCTTCACTCTTTAGATATATGCCATAAAAAATATGCATGGAAGGGAAGCAAAGCACTGCAGATGGCAGAGACTTTCAGATTTATTGTAAAATCATTTAACATCGGTTACGCTCTTGCCAGAAGTTAATTAATTTTTTCCCTGTTCTTTTCTGGGGCTGGGGGCCTGTGGAGGGGGGGGGCCCTCTGGTCTCACTAGGTGGCAGTGTGTGATTACCTGTCGAGAGACCATAGCATCGAGTCCAGTGTGTCTAGTTGTGACCTCCAACATCAGAACAAGATTCCTGTGTCTGCACTGGATCCAGGAAGTCTGACTTCTCATATAGCTATATATACACATTGTATCGCAGTGGGTTCCAAGAGCTCTATTGCCATTTTCTCAGACTCCTGGATGGGGCTATCATTGAGGTATGTATCTATGAACTTTATTTTTATACAAATGTTGTGTGTAGTGTACTATATTTGTCCATATATGCATGTATCTGTCTATACTTGATTTCAAAGACCTCAGAGCTACTTGGTGCACATAATAAAATTTGTATTTCTAAAATTACAGTAGGCTTGAAGGTATATTTTAGTTTTTGCCTAAGCAAACAAATATACTGCATAGAAAAAACGTTTTCTGTTCCTATGTCGGTTGAAGAGAGGCAAGTAACAGACAAAATATTACAAATGAGGATTTTTGCCTATGACAACTTTTACTCAGGTGAGTTATGAATAGCAGCAGGTTGATGGGAAAAGATTCTAAGGGAGGATGGATTCTGTTGGGGAGAGCTCCATCCTTTGCTTAAATGAAGCAGGTGAGTTCTGCATTTACTTTTTAAAAAGAAACTTCAACCAAACATAATGCTAAATGGTGATGTGGGAAGACCTTTCACTTTTGATGTACTAATAACTTGTATTTGGTTTTCCTTCACCGTTCATTTAGAAATAGTTTTAAAAAATACTAAATGAATTTGTAGAGGCATTTCATTTTCCTCATAAAAAGAAATCATTAAAAATCCAGAAAAGTACCCTTCAGAGTACATTAAAAAAGTAGCTTTTGGCAAAGATCTGTAAAGGCAGATTTTTTTCCCTTAAAAAGTTAATCTTCAGGGGTGCTGATTTTGAAGGTTTTAAATAAATGTTTTATCATATTCTTAGAATCTAAACTCATTACATGTTGAAATCGGAGGCTCTGAGTGTTGAAATCAGAGGTGTGGTTGAACCATGAAATATGGAGTGAAGTTTATTTGGTGACAATGAATTCAGAGGAGATGGAAACTTAGGCTATTTCATGGACAGTATTTAATAATGGCATGATATTAGTTGGTTCGTTTCTGTTCAGAACAATTTCCCTATGAACGTTAGCTGTTATTGGAGTGCAGACGAAGAAGGTATATCCTCATGCTATTCAATAGACCCTTGAAGAAATTTCTGATGGCTTAGTGGCCAAGCTTACTGGCAGGGTGCATCACCTTCTGTCTCTACAGGCCAAACACAATTTGAACAACTGGAGAATCCTATAAGCATTTACTAAGAAAAGCATGAATGGGCCAGAAACTATTTCCCATCCCCTCTCCTTTGTTTCACCTCTACCAAGACACCAAGTAAGCTAAAGGAAAACTCTATACATTGCAACAAGCAGCAGACAAAGGAGATTTTGAATTCTTTGTGGCTTTGGGGGGGTGGGTTGTTCTTGACACTTAGGCCTATGATCCTTTGCAGACTATGGTAATATTTGCTTTGAAAGTTTTTATTTGCAGAATGAACTGCTGGGGCTTAACTATTTTTGCACAAACATGTTTAAATATGCCTGTACCCAGTGTACTGTAATAATATGAAACTTGGAGATACCAACGTTGTCTTTCTGCTGCACAATGTCAGGTGAAAGCCCAGCTGGGTAGTGGCGCGGGCCCATGAGCATGGCATGAACCAAAACAAGGCTCTTTCCATCCATTCCGTCCTTCCTTAGCTCTGTAACCTTGGCATAGTCATTTCTCACCACTAAGCCTATTTTCTTGTCTGTAAAACTGGGTTATGAATACTTATGCTACCTGGCTCACAGGGATTTGGGACACATTAATGAGATAACATCTGTAGTGTATTGTTAGCTCTTTTTTAAGGTATGATGAAGATTACAAATTATTGTGGATCGCACTCAATGCAATTCACTCAACATGGAAACCTTTTTCAAGGACTAACAATAACACTATATTAACAACAAGGTATATTCACTTTTGGAATGATGACCTGCCTGACCCATTGCCTGTTATGAGGATACATGGTAGTGGTACTTGGGTGTTGGTAGAATCTTGTGTACAATTGGAATTATAGCTAACAGTAAACCAGTACAACAAGTGTGCCTGGTCTTGCTTACCTTTGGGTTAAATTCTTCTATTTATCTGCTTCCTGGTCTAGGAAATCGATTCAGGATCAAACTATTTCCTTTGTACCTTCTCTAATACTTATTACGAGCACTAGTTTTATTCTTTAGTCTTTTTAAACTTGTTTTCAGTAATAACTTAATTTTCCTAGGGGACAGGAGTGATACAACAATCCCAGTCTTGGGAGCAAATTGAAGAACAGGCAAAGTTACTTTCAGTACCTGCATGGCCATTCAGCAGTCTTTCTACTTTTTTTAATGTATTTCCTGATCCCAATAGGTACCTAGGTAAACATCCTTAGCCGGGCAAGGTGACATATTCATGTAATTCTTGCTACTCAGATGACTGAGAGCTAGAGGCTTCCAGTTCAAGACCAGCTAAGGCAGAAGAGTCTGCTAGACTCTTATCACTGAAGTAACTAGCAAAAAGTAGGATCGAAAGCATGGTCTATGTGGTAGAGTTCCAGCTTAACAAGTACAAGGTCTTGAGTTCGAATCCCAATACTGCCAGAAAGAAAGAATGAGAGAAAGGAAGAAAGCCAACAATAGTCTTTAAAACTTAACATGATAGCTCATAGGCAGTCATCTACTTGCCTCAATAAATGCTGACTTGGACTTTGGCGTTTCTTGTGTTTACCTTAGATACAGAGTCAACTCAAGGAAACCTGTAAAATTGTGTTGAATTTTTGGATTCTAAATTATGCTACATGATTATAATTAGGCACCATGAAATATCGTCTTATATTGGTTAAGGGAACCTGAACTTAAAACATGTCTTAGATCCACTTACAAGCACTAGTAAAATCCATCATGCCATACTATGGTCAGACATTCTGGGATGGGAAGAAACAGGAGCCCACACAGGACCTAATTTATTTACACATTAGATGTAATAATAAATAGGAAACAAAACTGGATAAAATTTTGCTGCATCCCTGTCACCTGAATTATATTCTTGAAAGTCAAATAGTGGTTGTAAACAGTCTTCTAGTTATATAAATTCCTTCTCCACTAATACAGTTCTAAAGTCTTACTAATTGATTTCTAAGGTTCCCCTAATTCTTGTATTAAATATAGGCCAAATAGTCATCATTGCCCCTGTTTGCAATAAAAATTGTGATTTAGGGGAAATATATTTGCTCCGTGTTGTTGCCTTGTATCAATATTCCTAGCTACTTAGGAGGTTGATATATGAGGATGGAGATTTGAAGCTAGCTGGGGCAGTGAGACTCTTATCTCCAATTAACAACTTAAAAAGCTAGAAATAGAACTGTGGCTCAAGTGGCAAGAGGCCTAGAGTGAAAAAGCTCAGAGACAGTACCCAGGCTGAGTTCAAGCCCCAGGACTGGCACAAAAAAAAAACAAACAACAAAAAATTATTTCTATGGAAAGCCACACTTTTGGAAAGAGCAACTTGTCCACAGGAAAGATCAGACTTCATGAGTCTATAGTCAACTTACTGCAAACACTATGTGCCTAGGCTATGAGATCATAAAGTTTTGTATCCAGGCTTATGAGCGTGGATGACACAAATCTGATGTTGTTCTGCATAGTTTTGCTTTTTAATGACCCCCTTTCTCCCTCTCCAAGATGATCATCATTCCAGCGCCCCTGTCCTTTGTCCCGTTTTTTTGTTTTGTTTTGTTTTTCTGTTTTTCTTGGCTCCAGTCTCCACTGAGCCACGCTTAGTCTCTTTGTTCGGCAGGTAGTAAAAGGGTTAGCTGGAGATAATTTTGTAAGAACAAAGTTACTGTAAAGTTTTTAATGCTACAAAACCTAGAAACCCAGGCCAGCCTGGTGCAGATTCATCAAGTTACAAATAAGCTTCGTGATCCCAGGGTATCAGTCGCAATTAAGAAAGTCCTTGGAGCATTAGTTGGGGTGGAATGGGAAAAAGGTTTTTGGTTTTTTTTTTTTGTCATTAGAGGCAGTGTTGCCTGGTGGTCTGAGTGAAGAACTGGGAGCCAGGAACTCAGCGATCCAAGGAGGCTTTGCCAAGGCCTCCTGCACCGTTTAAGGCAAGTAGCTGGGTCTCAGGAGGCCAGTGTCACCTACTTTGAATCTCCCATCTGCAGAACTCCTTACCCAGGGCCAGGGGAGACGCAGCAGGAAGCCTGCTTCCTTGTCTGCAAAATTAGAATATTAATACTTGCCTAAATAACAGGTTAACCAATTAGTGACAAAGTGTGCAGCTGATAGAAAGCAGCAGGAGGAGAAAAGGAAAAATCCAAACTCAATCTTATTATTAGGTGAGTTTTACTCAGTTCTGGATTTTTTCAGCTGTCCAGGGAATCCAAGGCATGTCAGGGGGTAATCCAGGGCAGGTGGAGAGACACTGGACCCTCGTTTTCATTCCCCTTCAGTGTGAAGATGTCTGGTGAAGCAAATTATGCAGCAGCTCTGTTGGAAAATAGAGAGAACACCCACACTTTGGACGTAAATGAAATGAATTGCAGAACAAAATCTCAGACAAAAGAATTTGGTTTTTAAAGATTAGTATCATAACTATACTATTTTAATATCATCCGGAAAAGACCATTTAGTGCATTTGAACATTCTCTGTATGTGTGTATGCACATGTGTGTGAATATGTGCAGGAAAACCTAAGAGGAATACACAGTAAAATGGAAGATGGACCACAGCAAAAGTTCTGGGTAGTGAACCCAACATTCTCTAAGTTGCTGCACATTGTTGATGAAGCCATTAGACAGAAAAGAAAAAAAATATTGTGTTTTCCACTGTACATAGTTTTAGCCTTCCCCGAAAATTACATTGAAATGAATTCTTTCCTTCCATAAAATGGAAGAAAGTCATATTTTGGGCTCTCTGAACTTAGAATATTTGACATTTTGTGCACGGCCCCTGCATGAGAAGATGCAGTGTGTCCTTTGGGCATGTTTTGCTTACATGACAATAACCAGAAATATATATTAGCTGCAAACAGTAATAGCAGTGCTTACGGCTTTGTATGAAATATTGCCAAAAATGTCAAGTACACTTCTAATCTTTTATGCCTTGGCATTCAAATTCAAACTTAATATGA